GATGAAGGGTTATCCTAGATCACGATGGGGTAGTTGCCTTGTGATATGTTGTTGAAGCCTGGCGTGGAATTGGAAAGAGGCATGTGTCGGGTTTTTAATACCCATTCATAATCTGCAGTTGCCTATTTGTGTACGATATATCAATCATGGACCCCGAATCCCCAAAAAACTGTGCCTCTGTGACCAGAGTGATCCTATCCGTGATAATGCAACCAACCAACAAGGCGGATGCGCCTATTGATCGTAGAGTCACAAGGTTACCTACAGGGGTCTGACCGAATACTATTTGAAGTCAACCAGTCATACGAGATCCCGGGTTATCGGGTGCACCCCATCGCTGAAGGCCTCCCCCCGGCTCCTTTTGCTGTCAAATTTCAATATTTGAATAATCGGGTCCGACTAGGAACTACAACAAATCAGCCAATCCCCCGGTGAGCCTGAGCCTGACCGATAAGATACACCGGGATTATACAATCCAACGGGCTGGGTTGCTCTGCTATTTCCAGCTCAGAACAATGGGCTCATCAGCACACTGACGAGGTAGCCGGGGCATGTCTGATGGCCAGAATCCCGTAACAGTCTGGTTAGACCGACGGGCGGGCACGGGAAGCTCAGCTCAGCTCAGGCAGTGTCCCCACAAGCCATCAATATTGGTTGTTCAGCAATGACACAAGTAGTGTAAAGATTCAATGTGATATTGAAGTGTTTATACCCACTATACCCACTCATTCGTCACGACTTTTTCCTTTTCTCGAGATGAAGCACGTATTATCGGTACTATACCCTAGACGGATGGCTTGATGGTGGAGATCGTATCGGCCACGATCTACTTAGCAGCTGAGGAAGATCCCATCTAATACCTGGATGCAGGCAGTGCAAAAGAAAAGAAGAAGAAATCATCAGGTTCCAGCTTTTTCGCTTAGCTCAGGTCAGCCGTCATCATCCCCTCCGCCTTCCTCCGCCCTGTGCCTGCCTCTCTGTGCCCTCTACGTGATATGTGAGTCAAGGGTCGGTCCGGGGGCACGAACGGTAGTTGGGGGCTAGGGAAGCAGTGTCAGATCCCATGGAGGATCGATCACCTCTACCGAAACGGTAATCTTGCCGCTGTCTGTAGGGCTGGCGAAAAGAGGAACGTGTTTGACCAGGTTGTCTGTCTTTTTTGGTGTTCAGGTGATATCATCCTAGTCTGCCTCGAAGGATTTGCGGCGCAGTCTTGGCAATCGCCAGTTGTCCAATTGCAAGGTCAAAAGTAGTAATATCTTAGTCCAGGAACGGCTTTGGTAGGAGGCAGTGATGTAAACCACCAGTTCTAGGTACCTAATAGGCACCCCACCCATGAATGCCATACCTATTCCCGTTCTTCTTGTCAGATCTCTCTTTCTTTGCTCTCGTGTCTCTCTCCACTCCAGCTCGGCATTTCGTGATCCTTACTACGCACAAAATTATCTTATTCTGTCCTAAATCACAGTCAGAAACGTATTTGATTATTCCCTAAAGACACGGCAATTTCTCTGCGATTGCTGCGATTTTTTGGAATTGGTGCATACTCCCATAACCACCACTAGATCGTTTCCACCGGACCATAAACCAAAATGGGTCGCCCCGAAGAAGCGGGCGTATTATCCAAACAACAGGGCAATGAGCTTCCGCCGCCGCCCTACCAAGAGTCCTCGGATGCAACAGGCTCGCAATCACTTCACCAGCAAATAGGGAGCACACAAAATGCCAGTTCCTCAGCAGGACCACAGCAACCACAACCACAACAGTACATCAATCGCCAATTCCCTGGCAAGTTTTCCATGTACTCAAATTCAGGATTTGGCAAAACATATTACCTGGGCGAGCACGGAAACCAACCTCTATACATTGTAAAGACGCACACGGGCTTCAGCGGCCAGCCAGATGTAGTTCTGCACTCCGGGCCCAGCGAGACCTCGCCCCCGCTGGCGGGCGTCTCGGGTAACACCCTAAGCCGCTCTGCCACGGTCGAGCTCCCGCCGCTCCCCGGGTCCGGCCCCAACGCGGCCGAGGAGGACCTGGACTTTTCCGGCTGGAGCTTTGGCACCTACACCTTCAGCATCGAGGTCGGCAGCACCGGCCGGCGCGAGCCCTTTGAGTGGAGACACAGCCACGGCAACGAGGTGGACTCGCTCGGCGGCTCGAGTTCCGGGTGGAAGCTGGTGCGGGTGAATACCGACGCGCCCGGTGGAGGATCGGACAAGGGATCGCATTTCGTCGGCGGGGGCCCGCAGTCGAGCGATGCTAAGGAGGTTGTGGCTGTCTGGTCCAATGCCCGCATGAGCATGTCGAAGGAGTTGAACTTTCAGTTCCTGGGCAGTGGCGTCACGGGTGCGCTGGGGGAGAGGTGGGCGGTCATGGCCGTGATCACGGCTCTGAGAATTTGGGATAGGGAACGCAAAGCTAGGAGGAACAACGCTTCTTAGCACCAAGGGGTTGCCGCTCCTTGTTTTTGATTGTGCTGCTTGTGGTGGTGGTGGTTCCTGCTGAAAGTGTAGAGTTCATCTGCTAATTAGAAATGTGCACACCAGGCACTTTTTGTAAACGTTCTTGTCCATACTGTTATAATGCAATAGATACCCAGGGCTACTTCAACATTGTGTTCAAGTACATGCTGTTACGACACTATTGACCTGTATAGACAGACTGATTGCAGTTTTGCCGAAAGTTCTAGTGTATGCACCACTATAAAGGCACTTGGCAATTAAAATAGGTGGGTACCTCTCAACGCCAAATCTTTACAGTAATCATCATATTTCCACCATACCAATCGTTCATGTATTGGTCGGCGACGGAACTTACGAGTTCGGCATGCGCCGTAATCGCCTTGCCCAATCTAGAAGGTCATCTATCGGGATTCGGATAGGCTTCAATAGCGATAACAAGGATCGGGTCCCCGCCGCCGCGTCATTTGTAACCGGACCGTGAACGCACAGCATTTCTTCCAATGTCACATCTTGATGTGTGATCTGTCATATTATAGGCTGCTTATTGTGTGATAGTTGCAATTTCAAGGCGTCTGCCTCCTGAACACACACAAGGGACCTTGTTCACTGTTTGCTACTACTATCCGAAACAGTGATTAGATCACCAGCGAGTATAGATAGCGAGCATCACCATGCGGGGCAGCATCCTCGGAAGCCTTTCCGGCGGCATTGCCATACTGTCATCGCTGCTCATCCAGAGTCAAGTGACCAATGCAGCAGCGCACAACACCAAGAAGTCGCTGCAAATCCACACCCTACCACCTCTGCGCGAGCAGGCCGACATTGTGGATGCGTGGACCGCGGACCGCCGGGCGCTGGTGCCCGAGATGCTGCGCAAGTACGACGTCGACGCCTGGCTGATCAGCCAGCGCGAGTACGCCGAGGACACGACGTTTTGGGCGCTCAAGGACTTTGTGCAGTTCTCGGCCCGCCGGCGGACCACGGAGCTCTTCCTCGCGCAGCCGCTGCCCGGTGGCAAGAGCAATCAGACGAGCTACTCGTGGATTGACAACACGCCCCGCGTGTGGGAGGAGCTTCGGGATATCCTCGCGGCGGCGGACCCGCGCTCTATTGCACTCAACACGGCGTCCGAGCTGGCCTTTTCGGGCGGCCTGCACGCCGGCGAGCGTGACGCCATCGCCGCCGGGCTGGGCGAGGAGTGGGCCGACAAGTTCGTGCTCGAGCCCATGCTGGGCATCGAGCTCGTTGCGCGCATGGTGCCTGACCGGCTGGACTGGTACCGCAAGATGATGGAGACGGCGTGGGCGATAATCGAGGAGGGCTTCAGCAGCAAAGTCATCGTGTCCAACGAGACGACCACGGAAGACGTCGTCTGGTGGATGCGGGAGCGCATCCAGAGCCTCAACTACACGACGTGGTTCCAGCCGGGCGTCTTTGTGCTCACCGAGGACGACCTGCCCGCCGAGCACGAGAACCCCCTCGTCTCGCCCGACCACGTCATCCGCTACGGCGACATCATCCACACCGACTTTGGCGTCACCGCGCTGGGCCTCAACACCGACACCCAGCACCTCGGATACGTGCTGAACCCGGGCGAGACGGCTGATGACATTCCCCAGGGCTTCCTCGACGGTTTGAAAAAGGTCAACAGGCTGCAGGATATCACGCGGGAGAACATGAAGATTGGCCTGACCGGAAACGAGATTCTGAAGAATATCCTGGCGCAGGCACACGCCGAGGGCATCGAGGGCAAGATTTACTGTCACGCTACTGGCGAGTTTGGCCACAGTGCTGGAACCGTAATCGGTAAGTCGAATTTCTGTATATGGATACCGGCAACTACGCCGAATCAAAAAAAGTTACCTTCTGACACCAAGGCTTTCTCTCAGGTATGACAAATCTCCAGGATGGCGTGCCCGTCCTTGGCGACCTCCCTCTGCTCAAGGACACTTACTACAGCGTCGAGCTCTATGCTGAGCATTTTGTGCCCGAGCGCAACAGAACCATACTCTTTCCCCAGGAAGAAGATGTCTACTGGAGTGAGGAGACCGGCACTTGGGAGTGGGTGTATGGCCAGCAGACCGAGTTTCTCATCATTAGCCCTCCGGCAAAGGATTCTCAGGCAAAGGCCGCGGGCGAGCTATAGATGACTGCATGGTAGCATCGTATCCATACTTGAAAAATGACGACACCCGAAAATATGTTGGATGTGTTTATATATAATTAATAACAGTCCTTTGGCACACGACTTCATGGCTACTGACAATGCAATCTCGACTTGATAAACACTCTAATTTCATCGTCGTATTATACTTCATAGCTCGGCAGGGTCACAGTGGGGTTCTATGGTCAAAATATCAAGAGTGGGTTGGGGTTATAATAGCAATGCCAACGACCCACTTGGGATCACAGAACTTTTAGGGATAATTCACCATTTTACTTTTACAAAGTGAGAGGTTGAAGGTTAATATCTGCTCACCCCAGGACAGAAAGCGTCGGCGAGAGTATATAAAGTCTTTCTGCCCAACAGCTCATGCGCCTGTAGGATAATGGTCATTACACTCAGCTTCCAAGAAGCGTTCATCGAGACACCTGGGTTCGACTCACAGCGGATGCACTTCCCAATTTTTGATCCTTTCCCCCCCTTCTCTTACCTTTCTGGCTTCTCCGGTACTTATTCATCATGTGCCCGCCCAAAGGTAAACAAGACGAGCCGTTGAGATCATGCCTCGGGCCTCCAAATTGGGCTCGAAGAAGTATGTTCATAGAAATTCGCAGAAGGGGATGTGATCGCATATCGAATCTCGGTATGAGCTTGCTCATTGACAGGACACATCATGTGCTATGCCTTGTTTCTTGGATTTGGCACATGAGGCACTCATAGTATTTTCTTATTCTGCCACAAATAATTGTATAATGCAAACCGACTCAATTCGGTTGCAAAAGTTCGAGCGACTATCTAGGTTTGATCTTGGTCCAGCCGTTTGAACTCTTCTCCCTGCTTCTCGTGGCAGTGTCATTCACAGCCGCCAAGGAGGCCCTCGCATCCTGTGAGCCATTGCTTCTGACCGTGTTCACACTCATGTAGCTTTCTAGGCCAAACCTCGGGTTTCTCGATCTCGATTGGGGCGTACCTCCTATCAGGACGCCGTCGTCAAGGTCGTTCGGGCCAAACTCGTCGTCTTCGATGAGCTCCCACTCCGGCACCGGGGCTTCTTGGGCCAGACGAGCTTTGAGCTTGTCTGAGAGTTTGATGGGAGTGGGCAGTTTGAATGATCGGGTAAAATCTTGTCCAGTAGTACTGTTGAGGGATGTGTGCGCCGCGCCGTGAGACCATAACCCCATCTTTGGCGCAGACTTGGTAATGTCGTCATTTTCGGCAGTTGCCCCATCGCTAACATGGGTAGGAGAGGGCGTGTTAGCATCGATAATCGGTTGTCCAGGCTGATTACGTTGCAGCGACGACCCATTAAGTAGGTTATAAAGATTTCGCCCCATGTAAGTGAAGTCTTCAAAACTATTGCTATTGTCGCCAACCGGGATTCCTTGTGTGCGGCATAACCACACTATATCGTATGCCAACAGGCACACGCCTTCAAGAAACGAATTGTAATTGTTTGATTCCTCCTTGCTGAACGATGAAAGAGGTTTGTCCAAGAATAGAGGCCGTGGGTGTGGAATATGCCCATATTGACGATCAAGCGAGTCAATAGGCAAAGGAGATGTCCCTGGGAATCCAACTTGTCCATGATGATAGGACGAAGCGAGCGAGAAGATTGTCGGCCGTGGGTAATCATTATGTGGTAGTGTAATTTCGGCTGGGAGTCGCACAGCTAGGTAATGGGATGCTAGCCATAATAAATGTGCTATATGGCCCAAGGAAGCTGATATATGTTCAGGATGCATACCTAGGTATCATTAGCAACGAGGAGACATATTGATGCACTGACATGAGCTCACTGTTCAAAAGGTGTAGATCAACGACTTCCAGACCTCCAATTTTGTATTCATATCGATTCGGATTTCCTTTCTTGATCCTCTGAAGCCTGTATAACTTGGCAACTTCGGCGCATAGTGCAGCACGATATTGCGCAGTGGCTTCGTGTTCTCGATCCCAGTGGTATTTGAGCTTTCTAATGGACGTCTTGGTCTCTTCAAACTCTCGGTTTCGTCTCGCGGCGATGCCTTGCGAAGCAGAAGCAAGATCAGCCTTGCGCCGTGCTATCGCAGCTTTGCGCTGCTCGATCTCCTTCCTGGCCTGGTCGATATCCTGCTGCAACTTTTCAGCTGTTGAGATGATCTCTGTCGTCCGATTTACAGCCTTCTGTTGTTTTGCATTACAGTCTTCGACGTAGGAGCGTGTACGATCTGATGCGCTGGTCGTGTTGCTCGACTCGCAGGCAGCCACTAGAGCGGATCCCCGCTGTTCCAGCTCATCCAACTCTATCATGGTGCTGGCAAGGGCAATCCGGCCTTCGTACAACGAGTTACGGGCATCCATCGCGCAATAGAACGGGAGCTTCTTCGGATGATGCCCGCGGCGACATATATCACATGTCATGTTGCTAGATCTTGACTCCATCGTGAATGAGTGGCGGGGTGTATTCTACACTTCCAGCGATTCGAGAAGCGCTTTACCGACGGGAAGCAGGACCCTTGTAGTTATTGTCTGGTTCGTCTAAAGAAGGCGATTTCATCTTCACCGGACGGCAACGGTCATCTGCAAAACTTATGGCTGATGTAAGTTGAAAATGCCAGTGACTTGAAGATTGAATGTCTTGTCAGATGCTCAAGTGACGTCGAATGGGTACGCGGGTACAATGGATATGAGCTTGTTACCTTATCGGCGTTATCAACCACGCTAGCAGCTGGTCCCCGTCTGGTCGACCAGACCCCTGTCACCCGGGGGGTACGTACCGCCAGATCCAATGTGCCAGTGCAGTCGATCTTTAAATCCGTTGATCCAATTCAATCGTTCCTTGGGCAGCGACGCGTCTACAACTCTGAATGGCAGATGAGAAGAGGGCAGGAACAAGTGTCGCGCAGCGTTGCCCAACCGACTGATCACAGCATCTTTTGATGAACATTTGTTCTGATTTATTGTACAATTATATTCTCCTACCTGCTGAATACAAGCCCAGAATCCCACTTGATCAATTAAGCCTGCAGACTTCCCCGTGACTGATATCGCGTCACGCCTTCTCAGTAGCCTTGAGCCACCCGTGCTCCAAGGAGCAGCCAATTAAAGAGCGATTGCCAGAAGACACCATTTCTACCTAAGTGGAACAGAACGACAGTGTTGCTTTTTTAGGAATACCCACGTGCTTCTACCTGAGGAGTTTTCTTGTCTCCAATATGTCACCCACACATACGCCTCAACGTTCACCTATCAAGGTGTCAAGAAGTCAAAGCCAGGAGGACATCAAGAGCTATGAGCTCGTCGATAATCTGGAACTCGATGAGGACGACCAGGATGTTGAAATCAGTATGCGTGTAGAGCATTCGTCGCCAAAGTCCCAGATCAAGCAGTTTCAGTCGGAGACATTGGCAGAAGACGATCAGGACATGGACGATGTTGAAGAGGATATGCCGTCGCCAACTCCTGCTCCGCTTGCCGATTCGCGCCGTCAACAGATGCGAACCCCGGAGCCTAGCCAACGCCGCAGCCAGAAAGTCTCGGGACAACCGTGGCCTGGCAGTCCTGGTGCTCTTGCACCCTTCGACTGGGAGGATTTCGAGAACCGTTATGAGAAAGCCCTGACTGAGGCGGACCAAAGGGAGGCCGACTTGGTGGCAGAATTTGAGCAGCTTGTCCAGGTAATGCTAAGACCAAGTTGTTTGTCGGACTCTGGCTAATGGACAGAAAAGTATTTCAATGTATGGGCATCAGCATCATCAAGTCACGACAGCGAGAGAGCAGTCAAGAGGTATGCGAGAATAAACCTGGCCTTGAGCGTGAACTGACATTTTTCAAGGCTTCAAACTCGCACAAGATATGTGCACTTATCAGAGAACAGATTGAAGGAGAAGAAGGAGCATCGTAAGTCGGGACCATTGCACACTTTTGTCAGCATCTGCTAACACAAATTGATAGTGCACGAAGTTGTCAAGGCCTTCAAAAGCGCTTTACTCCTTCTCAGCACAGAGAGATCATAATAAATAAATAAATAATTACGACCCATGCGATCTCCAAGAGGAGTTGCCTCCTATTCCCAACAGAGGCTCGACTTCTTTCTCATTCTTTGGATTCTTGATACACTCTTCTTTGTTTATATGGCGGCCTTTATGATGGTGCAATCAAGGTCATTGGCCACGATGTCATGAATGATGAGCAACGATATATCTAGCAACGAATATTCCTATATCCAGACACAAAGACTCTCAGTGAACAAAAAGCTTATAAGAAACTGAAATACAATTTCGTGAAGCCCCAACAAAAGAGAAGAAGAGGAAGAATGCATGGGCATGTCAGAAGTCTTATGTACTGTGCATAAGACTGTGCGCTCAATCTTTCGATACGGTGCAGATGCTGGGCTTGACAGGCGCCCGCCCCACATGCAACCTCAGGCTTGCACTAGGCAATCGGTACCTGCCTTGGTAACCCAACCATTGATGCTTTTATTTAATGCTGGTCATTGAAGGTTGCGACTCACCAAACGCGTCTTCCTTTCAACAGGGCCGCCACAAATTACCAGACCAATATCACCGGCATGGCGAGCATGCTCAACTCGCCGAGCGTAATTGCAGCGCCGGTCGTGTCACAAGTCAGTTCGACCGTATTCTCCAGTACCATCCGTGATCTAACCAGTTCAGTGCAGTCGGAGATAGAAGCTTTTCATGCTGAACACTTCTCAAATGCAGCAGTCGAGCTCTTTGCAAGCGACTTTCTCCAGCCTCAGCCGAATCAAGACGATCAGTACTACGAGGAGGACTACGAATACTACGAAGAGGAAGATGATGGGCTTGGTTACTACCCAGATGGGGTCAAGCGCACTCTGACCGATGAGCAAATCGCCATCTTTCGACACTCTGAACTTGAAGCTCTGCGGCGTGCCGAGGACAAGAAACCGGCGCCTGGTACCCGAAAACCTATCGAGGTGGGTGATGATGCACATGAAGTATCAGATGCTACGAGAGAAACGAACTTGCCGGACGCAGAAGCTCTCGAAGATGGTGAGGAGGGCGAGATCGAATCAGATACCCCGAAGCCCAGCATGAATGCGCCCAAAAAGAAAAAGAAAAAGAACAAGTCCAAGAAGAACAGACAGTCTGGAGCTTCGTCCGATCCCCAACGGGGTGATCCTAGTTGGTTCAAGAAAACGGTCAAGCCAGATCTCAGGAAGAGGACATGGGATGTGGTTGAGACGGGTATGGACAGTCTCGACTACGATGAACTCGAAGGCAGTGCTGGGCCGAATGCAGGACAAACGGCTCAGCGACGCAAGATCTCATACGACGACTGAAACCTTGACAACATTCTACCCTGCACGGCCCAGCAAGTCTGTAGGGACTTTCTCAAATGGGAACCCCCACATCCCCCGGATACGCAAATACGGATGCAATGAAGTAAGGTCAGTATTCATATTTTCTCCCCTGTATACACCCTCAGACAATCAC